GATTCTGAGGATCTATGTTTTTGCTTATGTTTCCAATATCGTTGGGAAGATTTCTAATGACACGTTTTTTGAATATTGTCATGCTCGCCGATCGGTGACGTTCGAGTTTTATGTTCGTACTTTGTCCTAACGACTATTTTGTCGGAATTTTCACGAAACGGAGATATCGTGGAGGTAACTGCACATATACCAACGAAATATACAATAGGCTATAAGTGTTCGACACCGCAGTTGGTGTCTTGAGAGATTGTCGAATCGATCGCAATAAGAGCAGTGCGACAAGTGTGGCTAACCCAAGTGCACAAATTAAAATTAAAATTATTTGAACAGTATTGTGAACAGTATTGTGAATAATATAGTGAATGAAACATGGAATTCGACGAACAAGTGGAACGCGAACTGTTGGAGCAGTGCGGTCAGGTAGCTACTCTGATGGAGTGTTTCGCGTGGCTGCAACGATGTGACGAGTGCTTCGAGCGAGTCAAAGAACTTTGTCGTGCCAAGCGTCCGCGTCTCGCCGTTGGACACAGACAATCCGTGGTGACGAGGATCGCGCGACTCGCAGGTGCAAAGGCACAATTGAAGCGACGTTACGTGCACGTTGGTGGCGGGTACACGAGTGGCGACGAAAGATCTCTCGTCTGGCGAGAGATTGATGCCGCGTTTGAAAGCCGTATATTGACGGGCGCTGTGTTAAATTCTAATTACTTCGAGCCGCCGCAGTTTTTAGAAGACGCGAGAGAAATAGTGCTCGAGCAAGTTCGAGACGCTGTAGAAAGACACGGTAGTGCAAAAGTGAATACCGCGTTCAACGGTGAATTTGCAACGAATGACAAACGTGCCATTAAAAGTATAAACACTAAGAACATTGAATTATATCGATGCACCGATATACGCGAGTGGTACGAGCGGCACGTCATCGAGCCTACGTTGACATCGCTCGAAGAGTTCCAAGAACGCGACAGCGGACGGGCATTGTCGCGAATCCTCAATTTGATTATCAACGTGGATAAACTAAATCCCATGCGCGCGGGATGTCATGTCGAAGTGCCGCGGAAAATAGTGACGAAACGAGCGGTGATCAGTGTGCGTACGACGGACAATGCGTGCCTCGCGTGGTCAGTGGTCGCCGCTCTGTACCCGGCCGAAAAGTATACGGAGCGATAGTCATCGTATCCACATTACACGGCAGTGTTAAATCTTGCGGGCATCGAGTTTCCAATGATATTGAAAGACATTCAAAAATTCGAACAATTGAACAACATATCGACCAACGTGTATAACATCGAGAATAAACGGGTCCTTCCTCTACGGCTCATCAGCGGCAAGAAGAAGAAGCATGTCAACATGCTGTATCTGCAAGATCCACGCAACGACGGTGTAGAACACTTTGCGTGGATTAAAAACCTGAGCTCGCAACTCAGCAGACAAAAGAATAAAAAATTTTTCTGCGATCGGTAAGTATACATAAAAAAAATTATAATTGTTCTTTATATTAATAAATATGATAATAATAATTTATATGCATTTTTTCCAGATGCTTGCACTACTTTAGTACGAGCGAAAAATTGGAGCTACACGCAATGGACAGCAGAAAAATTAATGATTGTGCCATCAGACTGCCGAGCGAGGACGACAAATGGCTCGAATTCGGCAACCACTGCAATAAGGAGCGCATTCCATTCGTCGTGTATGCCGACTTGGAGTACGTTCTACAGAAGACGGAGCCCGACAAGGAAGATGCGTTGTACACATATCAGCGGCACAAGGTATGCAGTGTGGGCTACTACGTGCGTTGCTCGAACGACAACTCGTTATCGTCGTATCAGTTCCGTCGCGATAAAGATAGTATAGCGTGGTTCGCGTGTCAACTCCAAGACTTGGCTCATCGCGTAAAAGATATTATATCCGCCAACGTGCCCATGAAAGTGCTGTCTAAACATCAATGGGAGACATACCGTAGCGCGACGCGTTGTCACATCTGCGAGAAACTGTTCGCGCCAGACGATACGCGAGTCCGCGATCGTTGTCACTTAACCGGTAAATTCCGCGATCCAGCACATACAAATTGTGTAATCTTAATTATAAAAATTCGTTTAATATTCCAGTTGTATTTCACAACTTGTCGGGCTACGACGCACACTTTATAGTTAAAGAAATCGCTACAGCATATGAGGGACAAGTAGATGTTCTACCGATAACAAAGGAAAAATATATATCATTCACTAAACATGTCCATAACACCAAAGATAAAAATACAAATCATTTTCGGAAAAATTGCGTAAAATTAAGGTTTATTGATTCATTTAAATTTCTAAGTGCAAGGCTCGATAAATTGGCGTCGTATCTCGACAAAGATAAATTAAAAATTGTACGTTCCGAATTTTCAACTTTGACAGACGAAAAGCTTGAATTACTGACTCGTAAAAGTGTCTTTCCGTACGAGTACGTCGACTGCGTTGAAAAACTGAAGGACACGCGCTTACCACCGCGCGAATTATTCTACAGTTCATTGACGGGCGATACAGTATCCGAGAGCGATTACGGTTACGCCGTGAACGTATGGCAGCGATTCTCCATTCGAACGCTCGGCGACTACAGTGATCTGTACTTGAAAACCGATGTCTTGTTATTAGCTGACATTTTCGAAAATTTTCGCGAAAATTGCGTCGTGAGTTACGGTTTCGATCCCGCGCATTATTATACACTACCAGGTTTCACGTGGGATGCCATGCTGAAACATACGCCCGTAAGATTTGAATTGCCCACCGACATTGATGTGGCCATGTTCATCGAGCGCGGTAGGGGAAAGTGGGCGAATTGTGCGCAGCGGGTAATTGTGCGCATCTTGGTTTGGTACTTTGCCGATAAATGGAGACATCGCCGTGATGAAATTTTTACGCAGGAGGTCGTCCTCTTAAGTTATAACCACAAAAGATATGACGTAAGAACATTGATAAACACTGAAAGATAAAAAAGTGAAAATATACATTTTCTTGTTATTTCAGCGTTCAGAAAATAAGGTGGTAAGTCCGTATTTTTAATTTGTTGGTTTAAAGTTGCATACGTTATTAAAATACGTTATTATGTGCGCCTTTCGACCCGTTATTTATTAAGTTTGGTTAACTAGTATTGAAGTAATCGTATTTCATATAGAGTCAGGTCGTGGCGGGTAACTGTGCGCAGGCGGTTTAAAATGCGCATAATTACCCATCTTCAATAGACTATATAGCTATTTTTCAGTTTAGTTTTTCGTTTCTAAATGTAAGTTCTTTAAATATCGTTCTATCATCGAGAAGGGTGTCGGTGATTATAAGCGGAAGGCCTGGCGATAGTCTCGGAAAGGATTACGTATAGAATATCTAACGACACAAGTATGATAGAATTTCCGTTTAATCGATCTCAGAATACTCTTTTACACGTCCTATCTCTCCGAAGTTTCAAAGCAGAGTTCCTTGTTCTCTCGCGCCGGAGTCTCGCATGACCCCCTGACTTTTCTTCTCGTATATTCTAGAAGTCTTTATTTCTCTATTTTTCTACATGCTTTAATTGTTTATTTTCTCGTCTCTCCGACGCTGTTATTGTTTCTGACTTTAACGTTACTTTTAAATAATTTATAATCTAACTATCTTTCTGATTTTTCGCTATATAATAAAATTTAATATTTCACGGCTAATCGCTTACTCGACAGAGGCATTTAAACGCCTCAGCTGACTCGCTTCGCCTGTGCGTTTGTGTGCACAGTCAATATTGTTCACGGTGTGCCTTACTTTCCAATGCTACGCCTTTACGTTACTTGTCGTGGCGATATTTGACGCCACACCAGTATACACAAGTAAAACTGAATTTGAAGAGAGCTGAGTATTTTATACTCAGATTATGACGTCACTACTTGTTTACTTTTATAAAAAGTTATCACATGTCAACATAGGTTCATAATCCCACTTTGGATTGATTTTACGAGACTCACTAAAGCACAGTTTCGATCTTGTGCGGATTATAGGTAAATACTCAGTTGAATCTCTCTTGTCAGAATGCAAAACATAATTCATAACATAATTCAAAACATAATTCATTCACTTCCTACAACTTTTGCTTTGCGCACAATTCCTTAACCCATGCGCACAATTACGCGGCGCGTGACAAATTTTTTCGCTTTCCCGTTTTTTCCTTTTTGCCAAATACAACCTTATTGAATGAAAATCTGTTCAATATAAGAATATGTAATGGTAGGAGAATGTTTATAGTTTCTATTTCCCTATTTATATCGCTTTGAACTTAGAAAACCATCCCAGAAAAACAAATATCCCTTAGGTGCGGACAATTCGCCCACTTTCCCCTATACGCGGTGGCCTCAGTCAATGTTTCGGCAGATATGCGCAGGCTAATAACAAGTATATGTTCGTACGACCCGTCGACGTACTTAATGTACTACGACGTTAACAACTTGTACGGTTGGGCGATGTGTCAACCATTGCCATACGCCGAATTTCAATGGGTCAAAGACGTTGCGAACTTTGACGTGAGCGCGATCGCTCTGGATTCGCCCATCGGTTATATTCTCTAGGTCGATCTCGAGTATTCACAACATCTTCATGACGTTCACGCAGACCTGCGTTTCTGCCCGATGCGCGATAAGCCGCCTGGCAAGCGCGAGGATAAACTTCTAGCGACGCTGTACGATAAACAGCGTTACGTCATTCACTACCGCAACCTACAGCAATGTACTCGTCACGGTCTTCGCTTAACAAAGATCCATCGTGTGCTACAATTCGAACAATCTCCATGGCTTCGCGAGTACATCCAACTCAATACCAATTTCAGAACTTGTGCGAAAAATGATTTTGAAAAAAATTTGTATAAATTAATGAACAACGCGGTTTTCGGGAAAACCATGGAGAATGTGCGCAATCACGTTGACGTAAAATTATTAACAAAGTGGGACGATACGGCGCGGAGGCAATGATCGCGAAACCGAATTTCCACAGTCGTAGCATCTTTGCGGAAAATTTAATCGCCGTCGAACTGCGTAAACTCGAGGTGAAGTTCAACAAGCCGATTACGTGGGTATGTGTATACTCGATATATCGAAAGTCTGCTTGTACGAATTTCACTACGACTACATGTTACCACTTCACGATAAATACAATACATCATGTACACCGACACGGACAGTCTCATTTACTACATAGAATGCAAGAACATTTACGAGACTATTAAACGCGATATCGCTAGATTTGACACGAGCGATTATCCGGCGGACAACGCATACGGTATGTCTTTCGCGAATAAAAAAGTACCAGGTCTTATGAAGGACGAGAACAACGGTATGATAATGACCGAATTCGTTGGGCTCAGAGCCAAGATGTATGCGGTGAGGGTAGATGGTAAGAAGGATACTAAAAAGGCGAAAGGCGTAAAGAATAACGTCGTAGCGCAAACGATAACGTTCGACGATTACACACAGTGCTTGAACGAAGAGATCGAAATGATTCGTCGTCAATCGTGTATACGATCTAAACTGCATGAGGTATACACGATATCCGAATAGAAAATCGCTCTGAGTCTATACGACGACAAACGATACGTCGTACCAAACACAACGGAGATGTTACCGTGGGGACACTGGCGGATACCTTTGGAACATATGCATTGACATTTATGTTACTATTAAGTACTACTATTATTGTATTGTAATTTACACTTTATGTATGTTTTTTACGTTTATATAAATATTACTATTATGCTTTATGTAGTACCATTTATTATTATTTTCAATTCGTGTATCAACCATTTTCTTATATATTATCGTAATTTGTACTTTGTATACGTTTTCCTACATTTTTTATTTTCATATAGTGAATATGTATTACTATTATGTATTATTATCATTGTAATTTCGTCATGTATGTTTTTATAAAAGTCTTACTATTATATTTTATATAATACCATTTATTATATATTACTATTATTTTTCATTTCATGTATCGTACATTTATAAGTACTTTATATAAGTCTTACTATTATGTTATAAGTAATATCATTTATTATGTATTACTATTATTTTCCTTTCATGTATCGTACTTTTATTAGTATTTTATATCTGTATACTCCAAAACGAAGAATAATAAAAAATATTTTACACGTTTATATCCTTATGTAAATATATATTTTTATATGTATAATAAAAAAATACATGAATCAAAATTGTATCAAATCACATTGTTTTTATGTACGTATTCATGAATTGTGCGATCCATCGAATCCCAGCCACTTAACGTACACCTTGTCTCCCTTCCTGCGCAGTACTTTTTCCACGAGATACACATCCGGATGAGTAGCGCGATGCAACTCGTGCTCGTAGAACGCTACAGCGACGGATTTTCCGCGATAGTCCTCGAATAAGTAGGTTACGGGATTAGTACGTTGTACCTTAACGATCGTAAACACCTCGGTGGTCCTATTTGGCGTGTAACCCTTCTCAAAAACCGTCTTGTACTTGCTCACGCGTACCGAATCGCCTACTTTGAATTTTGCCGGACCCGCGATCTTTATCGCGCTGTACACTGTGCCCAAGAATCTTTCGGCGATCGCGGGAGTTACGTCGGTGGGTCGCATGCCGATGGTGCGATAGGTAACTTGACACGAGACGCGGCAGCTCGTCGACCCACTTGTAATTGCCGTTGAGCGTAAACATCTTCCACATATCGTTCTTGAGCGTGCGATTGAACCGCTCGACCACTGACGCTTTTAACGTCGAATACGTGGAATAGTGATTAACGTTATGTTTTTTCAAGATTTTCTGCACATCGGCATTGTAAAATTCCTTCCCCATATCCGTTTGTAAATTTTTCGGACATCTTCCACTCGCTCGAACGATCTCAGCGATAGCGTCAGACGTCTCGCTTCCACTCTTGCTCTTGAGTGGCACGACCCACACGTACTTGCTCAACACATCGATGACGGTGAGTATGTAGTAGTGACCTCTGTTGAGGCTCGAGTAGAGACGCATCTCAACTATATCGGCCTGCCACAGATCGTCGTATCACCGGAGTATGATGCGCCTTCGCCGAAAATTTCTTCTCGCAGGAGCGTGCATTTCCTCAACGAGTCGACGTCTTCCGGAGCTAACTTTTTTGTTTTCATCGGATCTCTTTTTCATGATTCGACGCGTAATACACAAGAAAATAATGTATTTTTTCTCGCTGTTGTCACTCTATTGCCTCGTTTCGTTGATACACGATTTAATTTATAATAAGACCGGCTTCGCGCAGTTCCTCGATGATCGACAGCATCTCGTTGTCGTGAGCGTTGTTGCCCGCTCGGTGCGAAGCGTCGAGCAATCGTAGACGATCCACCAGCTCATTGGGATCGTCCCAATGCACGTAATCAATCGCGTTGTTGTTTAGCGTCATTGCGTGAGGTAATCCTTTTCCAGACTTCTTACTCTGTTTCTTGGGTGTGACCAGCATCAACGGCGCGATTATGTATTTGTACTTGTATCCCCTGTTGCTCAATAATTGACATTGCGAATAATGCTTGTGTTTATGCGCGCTCGTCATCAACAGCATGCTCTTGTACTTGTGCATATCGTCTTCCGTGTAGAGGGCATCGTCGGGCATTCTCTTGATAATCAACTCGTAAAGATCGGGGGTACCGGCGTATCGTACGCCGGCAATAATTATGTTGTCGGCATCATCCACGTCGAAACGTTTATTGCCATCCTTGCCAAACATCAATCCATCCTTGTGTAGGTAAACGCCGTACACATGATCTATACCGCTCTCTTTATCTTGTGCTACCCGCAGGACAGCCTCGACGTACTTTTGACCCAAGTTGGCTCGTAACGCCTCTCGACATTCCGACGTTTGAAGCTGATTTTGAACCTTCGTCGCTAGCGAGTCTTCCGTCGTTTCGAAAACGTTCTCCAATGACTCTATCGTCGGTACGATTTTGGCACGTGGGGTGGAAGTTATCGGTTCGCGCGATCGATCACTGTATTTATGCAGAGTTGCGGAAGGTTCAAACGTTTCGCTCGCTTCTTCTCCCTCCTTTTGTTCCTCCTCCTTCGTTACGTTTAGAGATAGACGCTGCATGTTCGTCGCGCGAGTCTCTCTTTGTCGCGCGCTCGCCGGGGTTGTCGGCGAAAAATCGCAACGGCTCGATAAGAGGTTTAAAATGTCTATCCAACGCGATGCCCTCCTCGATTCTACCGGTCTTCAGAGCGCGATGTTTCTTGCGGATCGACTCGCTCCTCTTCTCGATCTCCCTCACGATTTTTTTGCGGTCGCGCACATCTGCCATGTTTGTCTCTGGATAAGAATCAATGACGACTGGTTACGTTACGGTATCGCGAACTCGTTAAATCCTTTTCTGTATCGTCCATTTGTGAGCGCACTGTCTTTGTCTATCACTACGAAACCATATTTTTGTTGCCAACAGTCGCGGCACAACGCGTAAAATTCGTTATATGACATGTCGGTATGCACATGATCGTTGTAAACATGTTTCAAGTTGGTACCATCCTGTTTGAACAGGATCAGCAGGTTCGCGTTGTCGCGTATCAGATGTTTAGGTATCCTAGCGTACGTCTGACAGAGATAGAAGCAGTCGACGTTCGCGTGACGGCCCATCGAAAAGTATTCTCTCACCGCATCCTGCTTGTCGCATGCCACGTCATCAAAGATAAAAATAGAATTTGGACGCGCCTCGTTCGGTGGAACAACATCGCTGTTGTTGGAGAACGTAAAGTAGCCGATTTCGTCGATAGATGTAAACAAATTTTCGAGATATTGATACTTTGGCTGTTGCAACGATTTCGAGTAGACGTACACGTTCTCGAAACGTACGCCGTTCGAACTCTCAAGTAAGTTAATGAGAACGTTGGTTTTACCGCAATTCGACGGGCCGCAAATGATCGCGCGTATAGTATTCGGTAGCATTTCGCCGTGCTTGCGCTTCTCCACGCCGCTTCCCATTATTCGCAATTTCGCGTCGCAGTTCGTGACGCGTATTGCCAGTGGTTGCAATACGAATTTCATCCTCGCACTACGGGCTGTGAGCTCTCGACCACCTATTTAAAGACGCGCGAATCCGCGAGTCGCGCAGTAGTAAAATCTCGCGCTACGTCATCCTTTCGACATTCTGGATTTGAGCGCCGTGCAGTTGCAGTATATATCAAAGGTCGTACTGTTACGAGTGTACGGTGACTACATCGACTACGTGTGGAACAAGCTCCCGGCACACTTAAAGGTGGATTCGGAGGTTCGAACGTATCATAGTTGCGACGAGCACTATAATCAACCGTGACAGCGAACGCACATCGACGGTCCGGCACCGAAGATAAAGCAGTGTAGCGAATGTCAGCGTCGAGCGGCAGTCTGTTGAATCGAGCGATAAACGCGCTTCCTTTCGAGTTACATATCCCGGGCTACCAGTTTTGCGGTCCGGGTACTCGGCTGACGAAACGATTAGCCAGTGGTGATATGGGTATAAATCCGCTGGACGCGGCGTGTCGAGAACACGACATTGCGTATTCTCGGAGCAACGATCTCACCGATAGACACGCAGCGGACAAGGTACTCGCCGATAAAGCGCTAAGACGCATCATCGCGAGAGATTCGGCTTTGATCGAGAGAGCCGCCGCTGTTGCCGTTTGGGCATCGATGAAAACCAAAACCAAGATTGGTATGGGCCTGAAACCGAAGAAGACGATGAGGAAAAACACAATGAAAAATATAACGAAGAAACGGATAGTACCGACAGTGAAACGATGCGGTGCGTTACCGTTTCTGCCAATGTTGGGTGCGCTCGGATCCTTGATTGAAGGAGCGGCCAGTGCGGCGAAAGCGGTAAACGATAGCCGCGCGACGTCAGCTCGAGGAGCTGCAACGTCACGATCGCGCGAAAGAACAGGGTCGCGGACTGTATCTTGCTCCGCACAAATACGGACGCGGACATGGCGTAGCAGTGAAGAAAAAAAAAACGCCAAAGAGACGATAAAAATGCCGTCGGTTGGAACTACCAACGTGCAATTGGACATGCTTGCGTGACGTATGCGCGTACCGTACTTTAGAGGTATTTTCATGCGTAACGCGTTACCGACGAGCGGCGTGCGTCGAAACGAAAGCAACGTAAACCTAATTCCAATGAAACAGAAGAGAAAACTTTTCTTACTTAACGGATTTAATAAGGAGACGGGAAAACGACTTGCAGACGGTTATTGTAGTAACGAACCCTGTAATTCGTGGCGCGATATTCCCGACAAAATGTTCGTTTATTGCGACATTTGTGAGCCTTATATAACAGGTGATGTAAGTACTCATCTTCTCAGGATAGTTCCGGTCGAGATACGCAGTCATAATTACGCATTTGGTGCAAATTTTGGTGAAGCATTTCTCATTTCCAAATTATATCCCATTGCGACGAACGAATTTCAGAACGATTGAAATAGATATAAGAGACCATCTTGGGAAAAAATTCCATTCGAATTCGGAACGTTGACAGTGACGCTGAACTTTAAACGTAAGCAATAACTTTCTTTCGTATACGCGAGCATGTCGATATATCGACAGCCTTTAGTTAGAAACTAGCTATGGAGTATCAGGAGTATTTTGATGCGCAGGACATCGGTAGCCGAGGTGGAATTCCACGTGTTTTCATCGGTTCGCCCTACCAACGCGGACATGGAATCGGAAGCTTTCTCGGTTGACTATTCTGAAAAATATTACCTTACCTAGGTAAAGGTGCACGTGCTGTCGGAAAAGAAGCTTTACGTGCGGGAATTATCGTAATAGAAGACGTCGAAAATAATAAGCCGTTGAAGGAAGCGGTCAAAAG